TAAAAGAAAAATCTTTGAAACAGCTGAAGATGTTGGATCGATTCTCCAGCATCTGCAGTTTCTACTATCTCTGCTCAGCATTATTCTCTGCTTAGCCAAATTTCTACGTTACTATCATTGAAATCCAATTTCAACATCCTGGAAGTTGACATTGCCCAGAAACTGAACTGGATTTGTACCGACGGTTGTGGGTTGCTACACTGCATCTTGTAGACGTTATGCACTGCTGCCACTCTGTACCATCAGTGGAGGTAGTGAATGTTGAAGATCGTGGATGGGGTGTCAATGAACCGGCTACTATGTCCTGGGTGATGTTAAGCTTTTTTGTGTGTTGTTGGAGCTACATCCATTCAAACAATAGGGAACTATGTGTGCTTTGTAGATGATGAACAGACTTCTTAATGGCAGAAGGTGTATTACACACCACAGAATTCCAAACCTCCGACTTTTCTTAGAGCTACAGTGTCTTTATGGCTGGTCTGGTTCAGTTTCTGACCGATGGTAACACTCAAGATGTCAGAAGTGAATGATTCTGGGATAGTTATGTCATTGAATGTCAAGGAACAATGGTTATTTTTTTCTTTTTTGAGATCGTCATTGCTTGGCACTTGTGTGACACGGATGCTATCAGCACAAACTTGGATGAAGTTCAGCCTTGTTGCATATGGACACAAACTTAAGTATCTGAGGAGTCATAATGGCATTGAGCGTTGTGCTATCATCAGTGAACAAATGTCTTCTAACCTCATGATAAAAGAAAAATCTTTGAAACAGCTGAAGATGTTGGACCAGGACTGAGATGATTGGCCTCCAACAAACACAACCATCTTTCTTTGTGTTCAGTATGACTCCACCTATTGGATGGTTCGCCGCCTGATTTGCATTGATTCCAGTTTTGCTTGGGAACTTCGGCATAGGTATTCTGCTGCTTTGATGGCAAGGACAGTCACTGTCACCTCACTTCTGGAGTTCAGCTGTTTATGTTCATGTTTGGAACAAGGCTGTAAAGCCAATAACTGAGTGGTCCCTATAACTGAGTAAAGCAACTGGAACATCAGTGAGCACATTATTGTAAAGCGGTCACTGCTTGAAGCACTGTTGATTGAGAATAGACTATTGGGCAGTTATTGGCTGCGTTGGATTTGACCTTTTTGTTGAGAAGTCCTAGCAGACTGGAAACATTCATCCTGTTTCCTCCCCACAGATGCTGCCTGACTAGCTAGGTTTTTGAGAAATTTCTGCTTTTGTTGGATTTGTCCTTTTTGTATGTGAGACATAGCTGAGCGATTTCATAACTGCATATGGCAGAACTGTAGAGGTCTGACCTGTTAGTTGTGGGATAATTTGGCTCTGTATATCACTTGTAGCTTCTGCTGTTTGGAAGCACGAGTCCTGCGTTTTCACTTCATTTGCAGGTGTGTACCTAGTGCTGTCTTTGGCGTGCCTCCTGCATTTTTCATGGTTGATCTGATGGTGGTAGTTGTAGAGTAGTAGATATGAAGGGCCATGCAGTTACAAATTGTGGTTAAATATAATTCTGCTGTTGACGGTGAACAGTGTCCTCGGTATCAAGTTTTTTGAGTTTTTAATTAATTCATGGGATGTGGCCGTCACTGGCATTTATTGCCCATCCCTAATTCCCCAGGGGGCATTAACGAATCAAATGTATTGTTATAGAATCATGAAATCCAGACGTGGAAAGGATATCAGATTTCTTTCCCTCAACAAATAGCAAACCAGATTGATTTTTAGGACAATTGACAGTGGAATGGTCACTATTTGATCAATATTTAAATCCAGATTCTTTTAATTGTGTTCAAATTTTACCATCTGCCATGATGGGATTTGAGCCCATGTCTACAGAACATTCGACTGGGGTTCTGGATTGCTGGTAATAAATCTGTGATAGGTAGAATGTGATGATGAGGTCTCATCCTTTTTTTCCTCTTATTGGTTTCCTCACCAGTTGCCGTTGATCCAGTTTAGTGGTTGTGTCCTTTGGGGCTCTGTCAGTAATTTTGCTGTCAAGCTACTCATTGTGATGGACACTCAAGTACCTTATTCAGAGTACCTTCTGTGCCCTTGCCAGCCCTGGTGCCCCTTCCAGTTGCTGTTCAAATGGAGGAACACTGATTCATCAACTGAGGATGTTTTACAGGTGACAATCAGCAGGAGGCTTTCTTGTCCCTGTTTAACTTGATACCATGAGGTTTCATGGGTTGTGAATTCAATGAAGAGGACTTCCTTCCAATTGTATACCACTGTGTCACCACCTATGGTGGATCTATGTTACTGGTGGGACAGGACATTCTCAGGGGTAATGCTAACAGCATCTTGGAGATTGTTTATAACTGATGATTGCCTGAGCACGATTGTGTGCTTGACTTGCCTGTGCAGTCAGCTGTCCCTGTTTTGGCACAAGTTCCAGATGTTTAAAGGGAGGACTTTGCAAGGTCATCAGAGCTGGGTTAATCTTTGTCATTTCTGGTACCATGTCAATACAGGGTGTCCATAGTTTCATTACAATTTGTGGTTTGATAAAACGGAGTGGCTTTCTAGGCTATCTCAGGGCATTTAAGAGTCAACCACATTGCTTTAGAGCTGGAATTGAATGTCGGCCAGACCAGGTAAGGCTGGCCGATCTCCTTTAGCGAAGGACATTAATGAAGCAGCTAGGCTTTTATGGCAATAGACAATAGTTTCGTGATTGTCATTGAAACTGCCTAATTCCAGATATATTAATTGAATTTTAAATTTAATCAGTTATCACATTGGGACAGAAGTGAAACATAATCTGTGCGAAAGTTATAGAACTTGTACTTGAAAATTAAAGGAGAATTGTTGCAAATAATCTAAGTTTAGAAAAATCTGTCAGTGATTGGTTTGAAAGCTTTGAATTTTCCTTTGTGCTTTAGCCAGTGGTCTTTGGCAGAGATTTTTACATCTTCCAGTAAATGTGTATAAATTCTCGGTTGCCTGGCGGAAAATGTAGGGTTTGCAGTCTGTTAGGATAGGGTTTGCAGTCTATTAGGTAGATCTGACAGGCATTTCATTGAGTTGAGTGTGTTATTTTTGACTTTCTGTATGGAGCAGTGCTCCCAGTCGCAGTAGGCAAATCCTACCCTGAAAACTCTTCTGCTGTAGCTGAGGAGGGAGTGGCAGGGGTTGATGCTACAAAGGAGCGAAAACAGTTTTCAACTATTGGCAAGAGACGAAAAAAATGATCAAAAGTCAGCCATTCAGTCTGTTGAGCCTGTTCCACCATTCAACAATGATCATGGCTGATCCTCTATCTCAGTGCCGTAGTCCCCTCTCCCCAACCCCTCAATGATGTTAACTCATACACATATATTGCTTTCTTAAATATGTTCACTGACTTTGCCTGCATAGCCATAAAGAAGTCCACAGGTTTACCATCCGCTGAAGAAATTGCTCTTTATTTCAGTCCAGAATGGACCCTCTGGCGCTCTGGCCAATGGAAACATCATCCCACCATGCAATCAGTTTTTCTTTTGTCAAGCTGGTGGCACCGGCAAGGTAGGTACCGGCCAGACTCCTGACCCCGTCAGCTCCGCACTGGGCCACTTCTTCCCTCCCTTCCTTACCCTTTTTGTCTTCTTTCTTTTCCTTTTTCGTTTTCTTCTTCCTGTTGGCGGTGACGGAGAAGGTGACATTGTGGAGGAGGGCAGCCGGAGCAGGACTTTTGGCGGGGCATTGACGGCCTAGCCTGACAGCAGAGCCAGGGACTCCTGACTCCTGGTTGTGGAAGGCCAGAGCGGAGACTTCAGGCCTCGGCAGCGGTGTGATACGCTTGGAGTAGGGACTCCTGACTGACCTTGTAGCGGCAGCCGAACCGGGAGCTTCTGGTTGCGGAGCGTGTGTGGATCCAGCACAGGACCTGGCATCAGTGCAGGGTTGGCGAGGTGGGCTCAGGCACGAAGAGATGGTGCCTGAAGAGTTGCAACTCTGAGATTGGTGGGTCTGGCGCAGGTGGAGGAGTGGAGGTGGCTCCTTGGTGTCATTGGTGAGCCAGCTCAGGTCTTATCGTGGAGGCTGCAGATCGAAGATGGACTCTTCTTCAGCTATACCTTTTTATTCTTTTATTCTTAAACTATTAAAACGCTGCCAGCTGTGATGCTCGACCCCATATACATTCCACTACGAAGGAAAACTGGAAGTGAGGCAATCCATCTCAACAGACCCCAGAGTTTAAAAACCAGGCGGGAAAACACACCGACGCTTCATTGGAGGCTGCATGGAGGATGTTACCAAGCACGGTAACAAAATGTCTGCAAAAGAACAAACCAGCTCAGCGAGCCAACCAACCTCCACACCCACAACCCGAGCTACAGATCTACTCCAAAACCTTAGACAGTTGAAGCTTTTCACTGTATTTTACTGTATTACACACTGTGAAATACAATAAGAAACAAAGCATTCAAATTCATTTTGCAGCTGTATAAAACTTTTAGTTCGGCCACTTTTGGAGTACTGCGTGCAGTCTGGTCACCACACTGTAGGGAAGTTGTGGAGGCTTTAGAGAGGGTGCAAATGAGGTTTATCAGGATGTTATCTGGACTGGAGTGTATTAGCTGTGAGGAGAGGTTGGACAAGGTTGGGTTGTTTTCACTAGAGCTAAGGGGTGACCTGATAGAAGTATATAAACTTGGGAGATGCATGGATACGTAGATGGTCAGTCTTTTTTTCTCCTCGGAGTGGAAAATGTCAAATAGGTTTAAAGTGAGAGACGGAAAGTTTTAAGGCAATATGCCAGGCCAAGTTTTTATGCAGAGGGTAGTAGGTACCTGGAATGTGCTAACAGGAAGGTGGTAATAGCTGATCCGACAGCAATGTTTAAGTGCCATTTAGACAGACACATGAACAGGCAGAGGTCCGAGGGGTATGGACACATATGCAGGCAGATGGGATTGGTTTAGACAGCAACATGGTTGGCGCCTGTGTGCTGGGCCAAAGAGCCCATTCTATGTTCTAATAAGGTCTGTATTCTTACAACTTGGCTGGAGTAGGGATGATGAATGCAGAGTTGATGAGTGAGATATTCTGAACTTACTGTCTATTAAATTCCAGTGTGGAAACCACCTCCTGAGTGCCGGCCTGAAGCTCTCAAAGGACATGGTTGCTGGGAACAGGCCAGAAGGTGCAATTAGTATCCATTATCCCATCTGGGATTGGTTTATTCACTTGACTGCTTTCTGTCAGGACTTGACCCTATGTCCTGCTGTAACGTGGTCTGGGAATGATAATGCTATGATTTGACTTCTCTCCATGTTATGTGACATCTGCACACTGCTAATTTGGTTTACAGATGACTGCTGTGCGACTTGGTTGGCAGCATTCTCCTGTCACAAATTCAAGCCTAACTCATAGTCTAGGTTACACGCCTAGTGCAGTACTCAAAGTGTGCTGCATTGTTGATGGTCCTATATTTTGGATGTAACTTTAAATCAAAGACTCATCCACCTTCTCAGGTGCTCCGAAAAGAAAGTTCTCCCAGTGATCTGGCCAATATTTATCCCTCAATCAAATCACTTTCAGAAAAAAAACTGTCTAATCATTATCGCATTGTCGTGGAGCTTCTATAGCAGAACATATAGTGCTGATATGTGACTGTGCTCTGACTTGGCCACTAGGTGGAACTATGCCCAATGTTTTACCAATGCCCCTCAATTACACAGGAAGTTGGGTGATCTGTTACTGAGAGGTAATCATTGAGTAGAGTCATTGATAAGACATTCCAAAGGTATAGTAGATTAGCAGTCTAACACTTTCTGATCATGCTGTTGTGAAATTTCATGATGTTTCAGTGAATTCAGACTCGCTATGCAACTACAGGTTATTAACAATCCAAAGGTTCCACCTGCATTGTGCAGTTGAATTCACTGATCTGGTTCGGAAGAAAGGTTGTCGATTTGAAACGTACACTCTGGTTTCACTACAGATACTGTCTAATCACTGATTATTTCTAGTATTTTCTATGTACGCCCCAGAATTTAAATGAGTGTAAACCAAGCTGGGATTATACTTAGCTATTTGCATACCTAATACAATATTCTGTCCATGTCTGTTGATCACTCAGAACCCACTGTTTCTTTCTTGTATTCTGGAACCCTCCTGACCATCAGAGGTTGAACTGTCTGCTGTCACAGCTCTGCATGCTTTCATTCTCCTGAAGTCACTGGGGTGTCACTTCCACTGTCTTCAAATGGCCTCCATTAGTGATGATGGCTTCAGACTCCCCACTTAAATTTTGTCACTTCCTGCTTGCTCAGGTACTGTTGTGCATTTTTCTTTAGACATAAATAACAATTTCAGAGCAAGTGATTTTCTCTTTTTGCAATGATGGTTCAGGCACATGCTGCACTGAATTAACTTGAGGGCGCAAAACAGCATCTGCAATGTTTTCAGACTTATCCATGAGTTCATGCTCTGTATGTACTTGCTCTTATTCTCCTTCATCTATTCTTCACAATATAACCACGTTTTTCCTCGTGCCCTCGGCTGGCTACCCTTCAAATGCTTTCATGCTATTTGTTGACTTGCCACATTGTTGCCGTTCTCTGGGTAAAGAAATTTTCCCAACTTTTTCATGTGGGATTTATTTGTGATTCTTAGACATATGGGTGTTTGCGTCTTCCCTGTCTCCAGCATTTCCCACATGGAAATGACTTCTCAAAGTCCATCTTATAAAAACCTTTGTTAATTAAGCATTCCATTAGATGATGCATCTCTTTATTGTGTTACTGCATGATTAAGTCATAAGACCAAATGTAAATCGAAGCAGAAGGTTTTTAACAGCATTGAAAACATGAAGCTTATGGATTTAACAATTTATTAGATAATTGATGTTTCATCTCATACAGCTGTAGTCAATATGTCAAATGCAACTTTTTTGTCTGTTAACTGTTTCGCCTGTTAACTGTTTCATAACAATTCTGGGAGCAATCTAAGGTGAAGCACTAGTGCAAGGCTGTTTGAATCTTTCTGCTTATTCATCTTGTTTGCCACTTGAAGGAAATTGTCTGTTATTCTACCTTGTCTAACAGTGAGTTCAATTCAAAACTAAAGAAAAATTAGTTACAAAGTATTTTGGGCCATCTATGTAACAGACCTTTTGTCATGGTTTTCTCTTTTCCTTGCTGTGTTTTTAATTTAATTTAGACATTTTCCATTCCCTTGTTAGAAGCGATTGAACCTAGGTCACGAGGAGGCAGACCTGGTGGTGAAGCCAAGATTGGTACGGGGAGGGGCACATTACGATTACGTTCAAAGGGGCCTGCAACTGTTGAAGAATTGGTAGGTTCTACAAAACTGAGTTCCAGAACATGATTCAAGTATCAAGTATTCAAATAAAAGTGTTATCCTTCCACTGAAGACAAGGAATTCTTAGCAATGCATTAAGTATACTCCAGTCATGGATAATATACAAATAAGGAGTGAAGCTTTCTGTTCTGTCTCAATAATGTGCCTCAGACATCCTGCTGATAGTGTATCAGTTTGGCAGCATGCAAGTTTTTTTTTGTTCCATTTCTCATATCTTTCAGTCTGAGAGATTGTTGGTTAGTGCTGAATAGGAGATAGTTGTGTGTTACCTTCATTTCCCATTAGAATGTATTTTTCTGGTAAAGTGAGGAAATTTGATGGGGCAGTTTGAAAATTGAGAAACCTTTGTTGAGATGTGTGTGAAGAAACTGTTTTTTCACATATGAAAAGGGCCATCAGACTTGATAGAGAAAAAAATTAGGCTACTTTGCTGGAGGAGTATTGAAGGGATGGTTGGGTTTGCGGGAGGGCACGGATGGGGAGCATGAGCCACTAATGCTGTTTCTCCCGTGTGGCTATGTCTGTATGTACACCAACAATAATGAGCAGTTTCTTGAGCGGTTTTCTTGATCTCTGCATTGAGAAATCTGGGACTGATTGTGCCCTGGGGAATCCATAACTGGGAAGGGGGTGATGGAGACAAATCCCAGGATAATCCCAGAAAATCTTGTAAAAGCACATTATTGTGGAGATCTGAAATAAAAATAGTGCTGGAGAAACTCCGGAGGTATGCCAGTATCTGTGGATAGAGAGAAAGAGAGTTAATGTTTCAAGTCCCTTGACTGTTCTTTGGATCTGTTGAAATCCAGAAATTTGAGCTGGTTGGTTGCTGTATGACAATGAGTTCAGAATAACGGTAGTATAAATGTAAGATGACTATTGATAGATCAAATTGAATTGAAGAACATTTCCATAGACAAATCAGAATAATGAATTCATTGCAACGTGGAATGATTGAAGCAGATAACATTGACACCGTCACAGGGAGATATGCTGCATATTTGATGATACAGGACAGGCTGAGAAAGGTAGTCAGAGTAGGAAGAGGCTTGTATGGATTATGAACATTGGCATAGACCAACTGGGGACAAAATAGCCCATTTCCATGCTGTAAATTCCATTTAATTGTCCAATTCCATCAGACTGGCAAGATTTTAATCCAAGTTTCATAGGTTATAGGCTAGTGTCAACCCCGCCGTTTCCATCCACGGCCTGTTGAGAGTTCTATCTTAATATGATTATTTCTTCACTAACTTCTGTTGTTTTGTGTCCAATACCTGAGCCAATGTAACTAATGTATTAAATTAGTAGCAACATCAGGTTACATTTACACCATTCCTTTAATATAGTGTGCAGCATCCCATAGTACTTAACAGGAGCAACTTGATGCTGAGCAAATTTGCATGTGTACTGTATTACAACAGTGATCACATTTCAAAGATAATTCATTTGTTACAAAATTCATTTGGGAGATTTTGAGGTTTCAACAGGAGCTATTTTTTCTTTAGAGTAAGAAGATATTTGTCTTTGTACTTCTGTATTTGCTTTTGCATGTGTTTATCACTTGCAGCTCTAAGTCATTTTGCCTTTTATCCTTGAACTTTCTTTAATCAACAGCCCACTGAATTCGAAGAAAAGGCCATCGGTAAAGTTGATGATTTGTTGGAAAGTTATATGGGTATAAGGGATACAGAGCTAGGTGAGTTTATTGCTATTGTGCAGATTTTTGGATTTATTAATCTTTAGTCAAAACGCTTCTCTTTCTTTCCATGGCTACCTGCAAAAAGTATTTTTCAATCTCGCATTAGTAGTGTTTCAAGACATCTGGTTATTTAAGGAGTATATTGGGTTGCCTGAAGGAAACAATTAGAATGGGCCAATTCGAGTATTGTGCAACAGCTTAACTTATTGGTTTATGCTGTGGGATGGCAAGAGCCTACAGGTTCTGGGACAGGGGAAAGGCAAATTTTGACCTGACGTTTAGAGGCTCTTGACAACGCTGTAGTTGGTTTGCTAGTTGGCAGACGTTTTATTACTCTGCTGGGTAACATCATCAGTGCAGCCTCCGATGAAGCGCTGTTGTGTTTTCCCGCCTTGTATTTAAACTCTGGGATCCGTTGGAGTTGATTACTCATTTCTGGTATTTCTTCGCAATGGTGTGTACATATATGTAGGGTCTAATTCTACGTGTTTATTGATGGCCTTAGTGGAGAATGAGGCCTCTACACATTCCCGTGCTTGTCTCTATTTGGCCTGTCCTAGGATCCTAATGTTGTCCCATTCGAACTGGTGGTTCTCCTTATCCGTGTGAATGGAGACATGTGAGTATTGGTCATGTCTTTTTGTTGCTAGTTGGTGTTCATGTATCCTTGCGGCCAGTTTCCTTCCTGTCTGTCCAAAATAATATTTTGTCGCAGTCCTTGCATGGAATCTTTTATATCATGTTGGTTCTGTCCATAGTGATTAAGGGGTCTTTGGTTCGAGTCAGCAGTTGGCGTAGGGTTGACGTAGGTTTGTGTGCCACTCTGATGCCCGGTGGTCATAGGAGTCTTGTGGTCAGTTCGGATATGTTCTTGATGTACGGTAACGTGACTAGTGTGTCGGGGCGTAATGTATCTTCCTGTTGTTTGTGTGATAGGAATCATCGGACCCAGCTGTTCGGGTATCCTTTGTCCTTAAATACTTGGTAGAAGTATTCTTCTTTGTTTTGGTGTAGTTCTGGGTTGCAGTGTTGTTGCTCATTTAAATAGTATTTTCACACAACTTCGTTTTTGGATGTTGGGGTGGTTACTGTTGAAATTCAGGACTTGATCCATGTGTGTGGCGTTTCTGTGTACCTTTGTCAGAAATTCCCCGTTGGCCCTGCATTCTACCATGACATCCAGGAATGTGAGCTGTTCATTCTTTTCTTCTTCCCTGGTGAATTTGATGCCGGTGAGAGTGTTGTTTATTCATTGGTGTGTCTCCTGTAGTTTAGTCCGTTTAATGATGATTAAAGTGTTGTCCACGTATCAGATCCGTAGTTTAGGTTGGATCTGTGGAAGGGCAATGCTTTCAAGTCTCTGCATCACCGCTTCTGCTGTTAGTCTGGAGATAGGTGACCCCAAGGGTAACCCGTTGATTTGTTCATAGATTTGGCCATTAATGGTAAAGTGGGTCGTGAGGCGTAGGTCCAGTACTTTCAGCATGTCGTCTGTGGAGATGGTGTCACTCGGGTCTCATTCTTTTAGTAGTGTTGCTTGTGTTTTTCTTGCCAATGGTATGTCAATCAATGTGAATAGGGCGGTAATGCCAAAGGACTCCACGGTCTCATCCTTGTCTATTCTTGTGTCTTTCAGGGATTTGAATAACTCCTGGGCTGAGTGGATGGGGTGGGTGACTTGCTGACGAGGTGCTTTAGTCTTTGTTGTAATTCCTTGGCTAATCTGTGTGTTGGTGTCCCTGGGAGGGAGACTATGGGCTTGAGGGGTATACACCACTGCGAAGAAATACCAGAAATGAGGTAATCAACTCCAAAGGACCCCAGAGTTTAAATACCAGATGGGAAAACAACAGCGCTTCATCGGCAGCTGTACTGATGATGTTGCCCAGCAGGGTAACGAAATGTCTGTGAACTAATGAACCAGCTTGGTGAGCCAACCAACCACAGCATCCACAGCCCGAGCTACAAATCTATTGAAGAACCTTAGGGTCTTGAGAATCTCAAATATGTGAAACAGATGTCTGGTTTTATATGCATGCTAATAAGTGGTGGTGTAATGTGGATCTTGAGGCATTTTTTGGATAAATAAGTTTACAAAGTTGAGACCTGAGTCCTTCACCTCTTTTGAAGTGTTTAATTTTTGCCCTGCATTCACATGAATATGCTAATACAGTCAATTGAGCAATTTAAAAAGGCCAGATGGAGTAGATTGGGAGGACCCCCTGGTCGGGTATAAACACTGGTATTGGCCAAATGACCTTTTACTGAGCTGCATTTTGTATAATTCTAGATGAATGCTATTTGTATATCTCATTACTGTAATGCTTAGCATGATACCAAATTTGATTTCCCTCTCCGTTTTGAAAATTTTTGCAAGAGTGTTTTTGATTAAACGATTGCTTACTCAGTCAATAACTGAACTGATTACAGTGAGGAACTCATCATACAAGTTAAATTCTGTACCTGATCAACCATTAGCTGATTGCAAATGGATCTGTACCGGTTATTTGTGAGGTATGTTTGCACAGAACTGATTTGCTCTGTCTCCGTCTGTCACTGCAGAGTGTTAAGAACTAACTGTGTTGTGCACCAGATCTAAGGGTAGCCAACAGGTTTGTTTTTGGAATAACCTGACAACTGAATCCATCTTCATCTGCCAGCGTTGCAGAGTTTTCAGTAGCCATCTCTGGATATGTTTCATGCCGCTGGTAGATTAGGTTTCTTGAATTCCGGAGGTAGTCAAGTAGAACTGACACTGGATATCCCAAAACTTGAAATTTGTTGGATAAGGATCAAACATGTAGAGCAAGCCCCTTGGAGACAATAAGGACTGCAGATGCTGGAAGCTAGTGTCAATAAATGTCTTCACAGATGCTACCAGTCCTGAGCTTTTCCAGCAACTTCTGTTTTTGTTCTCAATAAATGTAGAGCTGGAAAAGCACAGCAGGTCAGATAGTATCTGTGGAGCAAGGAAGTCAATGTTTTGGGCTGAAACCCTTTGTCAGGACTGGTGAGGGGGAGGGGAGCCCAGAAATAAATAGAGGGAGGGGTGTGGGCGTGGGGGAAGGGTAGGTGGGATGGAGAAAGGTGGATGCAGGTAGTGGGTTATTGTGGTTGGTCAGTGGATAGGTGAGTAGGAAGATGGACAGGTTGGGAGTGGCGAGATTTTGAAGCTGGTGAAGTCAATATTCAGGCCATTGGGCTTTAAGCTCCCAACGCGAAATATCAGGTGTTCGTCCTCCAGTTTACATTTGGCCTCACTCTGACAGTGGAGGAGGCCAAGGATGGACATATCACCAGGGGAGTGGGAAGGGGAGTTTTTGCCATCCACTTTAACTCCAGCTTCACCAACTTCAAAATCTCTCCTGTCCCGACCTGCCCATCTTCTAACTCACCTATCCGCTCCACCCTTCCCACTGACCAACTACAATAAACCCCTACCTGCAGCTACCTATCTCTATCCCACCTGTCCCCTCTCCAGCCCCACCCCTCTCACTCTATTTATTTCTAGGCTCCCTTCCCCCTCCCCAGTCCTGATGAAAGGCTTTCAGCCTGAAACGTTGACTTTCCTGCTCCTCGATGCTGTCTGACCTGCTGTGCTTTCCCAGCTCCATATTTATTGACGAGAGCAAGCCCCTTTCTGAACTATTTTTTTTAACTCCAGCTGACAAGCACATATTTCTTATTGTTACATTTGATCCACAGTTGGCTCTGAGGGAAGTAAAGGCACCAGTTGTGTCACTACATAATTGGTCATGCCTTGAAGGACCCAGTTGGGCCATCAGTGGTGTTGGAACCAGCATCTTGTGAAGTGGCAAGGGGTATTCTATTAAAGGCACTATACATGTTATTATTAAAATCTGTACCCATTTTTCTTTCCTTGCAGCTGCAACCATGGTTGAGGTCGGAAAGGACAAGAAAAATCCTGATGAATTTGCAGTGGCTCTGGATGAAGCTCTTGGGGACTTTGCGTTTCCGGATGAGTTTGTCTTTGACATTTGGGGTGCAATAGGTGATGCAAAGAAGGGAAGACTTTAGTGCCAACGTTTCTGTAAAGATCAGTGAACAGTGTTTGGAAACTCTTGGTTCACTGTTCCCTTTTTTATGTCAAGTGAACAATTAACTCATGTAGATTGAAAATGGAAAGAATGCCGTTTTAATTGAAATAATTCATTTGCCCTGTGACTGTTAATTCACGCTATTTCAGTTGAATTTTATCAAGTGCTTTTTTTGCTAAACTAGAAGACAGTAACCATAAGTACAAGGCCATATAAAATACAGCCAATGAAATGCAGCACTTTCCGTACTACACTCTGCCTGCAGTCCCCAAACACACTTCCCCCAAATGACTTGCTGGGAAAGAGACATGCAGAGCTGCCTTGACCAACTCTAGCACACACCCAATTTTTCCATGGGTATTGATTAATTTTTCAGTTTTCCTCCTCTCGATCCCTGGTGTCTGCTGGAGATCAGCATTCGATACAAATATAATGGAAGGTGACTGGGATTAAGGTTACTTTATGCTTACTCTCCCTCCACTTATCAATAATCAAAGCATTTATAACCTAATTGACCATTTACTAATGTTGTAATTGGGTAAAGTTAATAATGCGAGCAGGATAGATATAATTAAAATAAGAAATTACAGCTATAGATGTATTCCGTACTTAGCTTGTCTAAAAGGGAGTATATGAAATTTATGAAACTCTGGCTTGGTGCTGATTGTAGCATTCTGAGATGCTGAATGAAGGGTACAATGTGGCAGTATTGGCTGTATTGCAGCTCCCTATAAATATCCTGAAAGGCTAATGGCATCATTGATTAACCGTGGCTGTATAAAGTATATTAGACCAAAGATTTTCTAAAGAATACTTTGCACACTCCAGTTGCTGAATTGAATGGGGATTTTATATAATGTTAAGCATATATGGGCCTAATATATTTTGACTGAAATTATAAAGAACTCCAAACCAAAAAGTTTGTTTTTAATAATAACTATCTGGGTTTTTTATGAAACGTAAATTTACTCACCGCAGTGTGCCTAATGCCATACCACAGTGTTTTGTAACCAAATTATTAATTTTGATCTTTGCATAAAATGTGGTACTAGAACTATCATCTAATCAGAATTTTATTAGGATTTCTACTTAAATATAGATCCAATACTTCCTACTTTGAGTTCATTTAATCTGTAAATACACTTCGCCTGTTGACTTATATGAATACAGCTGCAAGTTTACTGAAATCATTTAGCTTTTTCTTATCTGGGCCAATGTCCTCATCTGCCACAGTTCCTTATTACCCAATACCTGCCTCCTTGGAAGCTATTCTTTAATCCCAGTGATTCAGGGAACCTGGGAAATGAGCCAGAACTTCCTGGAAGTATCATTACTGTGTAACGTTGTTTGGTGACTCAAGCTATATAATTATTTTTCCACACTGTTTAGAACATTATAATTTTTTAATGCAGTATATAATCTGACGTAATTGAGATTGCATCATGCTTTGGATGTCTATAATCATTTATTTATTTAAACTTTTGTTCTGCATCTTGGTGAATTTGTTCATGTTGCTTTATTTTTCAATGGGGTAATAGGTGCTTAATCCGTATTATATTACTGTGTCTATGTAATTACTTTACTGAAACACTTACCTCAAAAACTGCTACCAGAAAGCATTCAACATTAGTATGTTTGGGAGCCTTGCCAGTCCCCAACTGAAGTTTAAATCAGCATTCCCAATAATTTGTATCTCAAACTGCCAATATCAGCAGGTTTTGGTATCTCAATTTGGAATTTGTTGACCAATAAGGGGACAGCACAACCTTTCCTTTGCACCACTGTTCTCCCACGCTTCCTCCAACCTCCCAAATAATTTGGCACTTTCCAAACCCACAGGCTCTCAAAACTGAAGCAGGACTAACTAGAGTCAGAAAGTAAGTTGGCTTGACCTGCTTAAAACCTGGTGATTGCTTATCAATCACAGTTTGGATACCTCTGTTCAATGGGACCAGTTTTTGTTTCCAATTCATTTAAGTTTCTTCTGTACTTTCATTTCCAGAAGAAATCAAACAATTATAGAATAAAATAATCATCAATTTTCACAAAGGGTGTCACACAATGGGTGGGGTGTGGAAAAGACATTCTGCCATAATTGTACTTCAGAATGCCACGATGGATTAAACTGACTACTTTGCCTAAAACAATGCATTTGTGTGAACTACTGAAAATTAGAAATGAGATTTACACTACATCAGTTGAAAGCATCTTCTGTATATTTTCTATTAAAAAAGTTTGAGAAGTCTTGTGTGAAAAGTGTTAATTTGATAAATAACTTTGCAAAGAAATGCAGCTGTTGTGTTTTTGCTATTAAGCCCCTTGTCCAGCATTTATTACTTCTTCCATTCATCGTAGTGGATCTTCATTTCTGGAATACAAAATTTCCCACTATTGGCTATTCTTCATGTACTCCCATGTCAGTGAAGAGCAAAGTCTGCTGTATTCCTTTTCCAATAATGTGTCTTGCATTTGCTATAGCAATATATTTCTCATTGCTGGTTAATGTCACATTAGACAAACAGCATCTGTTTCAACTATGGAATGACTTGAGGCTACCCAACCTCCCGTTTCACAGACTGCTCTTAGCCCATCGCTTTGACTTGTTTCTAACTCAAATGCTACAGATTGAAGACCAAAATCAAATCCACTGCACCACCTGTACCCCTTATATGATGTAAAAAGGGCCTCTTTCTGTGCTACAATGACACCACCTGCAAAATGGAGGAGCAATACCTCATATTCGGCGTTGGGAGCCCACAGCCCGATGGCCTAAACATGGAATTCACCAGTTTTGAAATCTCCCCATCCTGGGCCTCATCCCACGTCCAACCCTCCCTGTCATCCCTGCTTTCTTGACCTGACACAACCTGCCCATCTTCTCTCCCATCTATTTGCCCCACCCATGCCACTGACCAATCTCTACCACTTCCTACCTGCACTCAGCTATCACCATCCCACTTACCTTCCCCATCCCCACCCCTCCTTTCTCTATTTATTTCCCAGCTCCCTTCCCCCTCCCTATTTCTGAAGAAAGGTCCCGACTTGAAACGTCAGCTTTCCTGCTCCTCTGATGCTGCCTGACCTGCTGTGTTCCTCCAGCTCCACACTGTGTTGTCTCTGACTCCAGCATCTGCAGTTCTTGCTATCCCTGTGTTTATTTCATGTCTTTGGTGTTACAAAGCATTTCCCAGCCAACAAACAAAATGCAGTACTGTTTTGTCAGGAAATATGTTACGGACTGTTCAAACAAGCAATCACCAACAAAATAAATTTGGGTATTGTGTGTTTTGATGGTGAAGGATTAATATTGATACAATTATACATTGTCTTACAACAAGTGGTGAGCTTCCATCGTAGACCAAGTCTCTTAAGTTCTCCAGTAAAGTCCACTTTTTAACGTAGTTAACATTCAGGGACTTAAGACAACCAGTCATACTATAAGGCCATTCAGAAATATGCTGCAGTCATTTTCCTCCGTTCCAATTATGCCTGGGATCAAGACTTTGATTTACAACTTAACTGTGCTTTATCCCATCTTCTCAATACTTGCAAACTAATTCCACTGATTTTCTTTCTTTTACCATATGACCCCATGAGGTTCATTGTATATTTTACCATGACCTTTTCACTGGACAAGTTTCCAGTTCAAGATCTGTCTCAAAATTCAAACTGAACTTAAGTCCTACCTGCATTCCAGAAGTTAGCTGTTTATTTGCTTACAGTGCAGCCCCACTAGCTTCCTCAGTAATTGACAAGATGTTACTCCCTTCCCTTGTGACCTCCCAAATCTGACTCCCACACACCTTCTACCTGTTACTCCATGAGGACCCCTGTCGTCTGCCACCCAAGAGCCCTGGTCTGACCCTAGTTGTTTCTTACTCTACCTTCTTTATTTGGACTCACTTATATTCTCAGCAATGGCCGTTATGAAGTTCTGGCATTGCTGGGACCACTGAGCTGTTGGCAGGGCTTCTTTTACTGAAAAGATTCATACCCTGCAGTTACTTTGTTCAGGTAGCCCCCAGTGTATTATTGGTGTGTGGCAGCTGTTTTTTAAAGTTAATTGGCTTGTCCACAGCACCCCCACTCAATGGCGTTGTAAAAATTCAAGCTTCTGAATTTGCAGTCCCATAGTGTTCTTCACACAGCTTGGATTCCCAACTGACCTTGCATTTTTAGCCAACTTGGCTGGTGGCACAGTGTTATTGCACCTGCCTCTGGGTTGGAGGGTCCAGTATTCTAGGAAGGAATAAAAAGTTCAAGTTCCATCTGTGCTAGAAATACATCACAACCTGCCCGAATGAGTTTATTTAAAACACTTGCATTGTGCTCATTCCCCACATCTGTGTAATTGGTGTAGGTTGTAAATGGCTGAGGACTAAGCCCTGATCCTGTGATACCCCACATGTTATGACCAATCCAAAAATGACCCCTTCGTTCCTAATTTGTTCTTAGCTCCTAACAATTGCACAATCCACCGTATTACGCTGATCACAAGAGCCTTAATTCAATGTTAATGCCTCAAAATGCTGTAGTAGATATGTTGAACATAATTTGCCTTTCAAACATCAGTGTTAAATTTGCCTCATTATTTTATGATTTTTAAGAGCATGTTGGCATGTCTCTCATAATAGATTTTAACATTTCCCTACTACTGAGGTCAGGCTAACTAGCTTACAGTCCCCTGTTTTTGCCCTCCCTCCTTTCTTGAATAGAGCAATTATGCTTACCACCTTTCAATATTGTGACTGTTAGAATCTAATGAATTCTAGAGGATCGAAACCAACATATTCACTTTAAATGAAACTTGTCCTGAAGAAAAGCTGGAAATGTTAACTTTTCTCTCTCCACATGCTGTCAGACCTGCTGAGTTTCTCCAGCACTGTGGTTTATTCACTTTTTAAATGTTTGCCATTTTAACTCTTATCTTTCAATCTAGTTTCCCAAATGACTAGCTAACCTGCCCCTCATACCCAGGTACCTTGTGTAATGGGCCCTCCATTAGCAGTTGGCAATGGTGATGGAAGGAAGCTGGGGCTGTTGAACACCTTCTCACTAGGAAAAAGGGGTGTCTGTTAGAAACAGGGTTGGTGGGAAGGAAAAAGGAACTGACAAAGGGAACGCTCAGCCGAGTGTAACTCACAGACTCATTCCAAAGAATGCTGTGAATAGTTTTAATTTTTGACACTGTAATGACATAATTCTGATGCCATTGCACTAAAATCACTGCTTCACGATCTTTGAACCATCCGACTTGATTGGCATGGACATGTTGGGCTGAAGTGTCTGTTTCCATACTGTCTGACTCTGTGTGTTCAAATCTCATGTTACACTTGGTTTGTTCAGTTTTAAGACCCTAGTTTTTGACTTAACAAAATCACTTTCAAACTATGTAAAATTCTACCATATACAGATCACTTTTTTGCACTGGTACTTTAATAATAGATTATTAATTAACTCTTTCTTGTCTTTCAATAACAGATGTCCAAAGATGTGCAGGTTAGGTGGATTGGCCATGCTAAATTGCCCCAAGTGTTCAGGGATGTGTAGCTGAGGTGGGTCATAAGGGGATGGGTCTGGGTGGGATGTTCCAAGGGTCGGTGTGGACTTGTTGGGCCGAAGGGCCGGTTTCCACACTGTAGGGATTCTATTCTATTCTAGATCTTAAAATAATCCATTCTCCACTTAGCTTTTCAGATCATTATAATAAAAAAAACCTAAGGATCAATGAACAAAAACAGAAGTTGCTAGAAAAGCTCAGCAGGTCTAGCAGCATCTGTGAAGAAAAAAAATCAGAGTCAGCATTTTGGGTCCGGTGACCGTTCTCCAGAACACCAAGTTGTCTACATTGTTTTTCTAAGGGACATGTCTTATACAGTGGGTTGATTTGTGTGAAGTAGTAGATGAGCCAGGAGCAGTGGCTTGTCACTTGTATTGAGGGAGGAGAGTCATGACCACAATTTGATTGATTATCCTTGATCTTGTTGATATAATAATTGCTGTTTTTATTTCCTATTGGAAACAATTAAAACCAGATTCATGACAGCCCAGATGCCAAAACTAAAATGACATTAACCACAGCTAACTTTAGTATTCTGAGTTTTGCAATTTTGTCTAGATTCTGTCATTTGCTATCTTATTCTAACTATAGACACAAATGTGGCTTTTTCTTTTAAATAGAGTTAGTGAGTCAAACAAGAGGGTGTGCTCCCAGCTAGAAAGGTTAAAATGGCTAAAATTGGAGAGTCCCATTTCTCAGGTTAAAAGAAATCTAGATTTGCATTCATACAGGACCTTAAAAAAAGCCTTCAGTACCAAAAGAGCACAGAAAATGCTGGAGAAACTCAGCAGGTCTGGTTATATCTGTGGAGCGAGAAACAGAGTTAACATTTTGATGCTACTTAAACTTCACAGCATAAAATTCCTCAATATGCTTCGTAGTCAATTAAGTACTTGTTTAAATGAAGTCATTGTAACAATGTAGAAAATGTAGCAGCCAAATTTAACACAGCAAGTTTGCACAAGTAGCAATGTGATTGAGATAGTTTTTCTTTGTATTGGTTGTGGGATAAATTGGCCAGGGTACTGAAACAAATTTCCCTGCTCCTCTTCAAAATAGTACTCTTTTACGAGAGGAAAGGTAGGCCATCAATAAACGTTTTACATGTGATAAGTGGGTAGACTTGGCCTACGTAAAAGATGATGTAATTGAGGCAAAATAATTCTCAACTGGTTTGACAGAGCAGATTCCGTAAAAATGTCTCAACAGCTTTAGAGTCTGGGGTCACAGTCTGAGAATAAGGGGACAATGACCATTTTGAATGGAGATGAGGAATCTTTCTGCTGCCAGTCTTTAAGAAGGGGTTAGAGTTAGATACAGTCCTTGGGGATAAAAGGATCAAAGGATTTGGGGCAAAAGGTGGAACAGGGTACAGTGTTGGATGATGGCTATGATCATATTGAATGGTAGGGGAGGCTTGATGGGCTGAATGGCCCACTCAGAATAGAATCCCTACATTTGGAAAAAGGCTGCTTGGCCTATCAAGTCTGCACCAAGCCTCCAAACAGCATCTCACCCAGCTCCTTAACCTCTACCCATAACCCATCTAGTCTGCACATCCCTGGACTCTACGGACAATTTAGCATCCACCCAGCCTTGCACATCTTTTGACTGTGGGAGGAAACTGGACCACCTGGAGGAAACCCACGCAGACATGAGGAGAATGTGCAAACTCCATATAG